CTGTGCTGCTGGTTTGCAGTGGCGAGTGTCTTTCTGATAGCAAAGCCCTCTTAGAAGTGTTATTTCACAGATGCTTGCAGTGGCTCTGTGAGTGAGGGGGCCAGGCAGCTGTGACAACTGCTAACTCACGAATGTGGAATGGACTCAGGAAGGTAATGGCCTCTCCAAGCCTACGCAACTGGAAATTGATAAATTCCAGACCCAGACCCAAGTCTCTCCTGATTGTTGCGGCTGAGTAAATTTTGCAACTTTAAATCTTTCTCTCTGGGCTTCAGTTCCTATGTGCCTGTAGAGGGCGGTAGAGGTCTTTCTGTTTTGGCTGCTCTGAGAACTTTTGCTCTTGAACCCTTTGAATTTAACAGTCTCACAGCGCATTATCTCACAAGGTTATAAGCATTTTCTGTGTGTCTGCCTCCCCTCATGCCCCCACCTCCATCCCCTAGTCTGAGTTCCTTCAGGCTGGGACTCTTCTATTTGGTACTGACATCTAGCACAATGTGTGGCCCATAGTAGGAGCTTGATAAATGCTTGTTGAATTGAATACATGCAAATGAAATTGGCCAGTGCCTCCTCCTCTTCACAGGCATGGGAAAGGATAACCTTTTCCCTTGGTCCATCCAAATGAATGAAGTTGAAAGTGGCAGAATTCAGGACCTGTGCAGTGTCCTTAGATGGCCACCAGGTGGCAGTGTGACCTCATGATGACCTTGCCTCCTGCCAGCTCCTTCGGAGACTCGATCTGGGCTCCTGTTTGGGGATTGCCTTTGCAAAGGACCTTTGCATTTGGTGCTCTGAGACTGATAAGTCTTGGCCTCACCTCATCTCTAAAAGCTGTGTGATATTGTGCAAAAGGCTTGGACTTTGGGATCCACCAGGCTTGAATTCCAACCCCGGCTCTGCCTTTCCCCAGGAACCGAGTCTGGGACACACTACTTCCTGAGCCTCAGTTTCCTCATCCTGTAAAATGCTGTGTAATTAGAAAAGGGCCAGCGTTTCGTGGACTGGAGCAAAACTGAAAGTTAGTTTTCTTTTTTTTTTCCCCACAAAAAATATACATTATTCTTTAAATTGTTTAAATTAGATTAGATTGAACACCGTGATATTGATGATAGTTGATCTTATTTGATCTACAAGAAACAATTCTGTATAATTCAGACTGTTTCATTTATACATGTATATTACATATAACTTTTCAAACCCAGAATCATTTTAAAGATTATTAATGATCAGTCTGCATTATTAATGTTTCCTGCTTGACAGAATTCTATTTTGTCATCATACAGCACTTTATTTAGGCTTTCTCTATTGAAGATCACTTTGTTGCTTCCACATTTTCACCATTAAAACACACACATTTTCACCATCAAAAACAGCATAGTAAAGGACACAGTTGCATATGCCTCCTTATCATGGATTACCTCATATAAGGTAAACCCTAAAAGTAGAATTCTTAGGTTGAATGGTATGCACGTCTTTCAGTTCACTAGGAGTGACCACAGTGGTTGAACCAATACTGAATGCTAGTTTTCTTGTTTGAAAATTCCTGTGTTTGCTTTTCTGTGCCCTCTGTCATCTGGCACCATCCTGGCAAGCTGATCTTTCTTATCAAGCTTCATGCACTTCCCAGCAGGTCTCTTAGCGCTCCTGCTGTGTCACTCACCCACCCCAGCTTCGCTCTGTCTCAGTCACTCAGGCCCGTTTCCCACCGTTTTCCCTGCCTGGGTGCCTCCCTTCTGCCTGTTCATTTCCTCCCCTGCCGGACTGTCTCCCTCACAGCCCAGCCCTCTGAATGTCCAAAGCAGTTGAAGTCTGTACTTACAGGTCTAATCTTGACTTCCCACGAAGATAGCTACTCTGTCAGGGTCCTTGTCTTGATTATTTTGGCATCTATGCCTGGCGCTTAGTAGACAGTCTACAGCAAAAACGACAGCTAACGTTACTGAGCACATGCGGGCACTCTGCTCGATGCTTTGCAGAGTTATTTCACTTAATCCTTAGCAACAAATCTATCCCCATTTTACAAAGGGATGTATCAGGATGTCTTTGGCTCTGAGCAATAAAAGAGTCCCACTAAAAGCAGTTTAAACAGTAAGGAAAGTCTGTTTTTACCAAGAAGTCATGAGGGATGCTTGGTGATGTCAACAAGGTAGCTGCCACCTCTCCTGGTTGCTTCCTTCAGTGCGTTGGTTTATCCCGTTTGGCTGGTCT